TCCAGATCTCTGGAGCAGCCTCTGCCTGCAGTGGGGAGCCGCTCCTGCCTGTCCACTGTCCGCTCCCCCTTCAGTTAGTTAAGTTGAACAAACAGGATTTTACATCCCTAAGTCTGAGATGTTTTAACTGGAGATATGGGAGGTAATTGTCTTTCTTTCCTTGGCACCGGTGGGACCTCAGTCAGTGTACTGTACTGCATCCAGTTGGGTACTGTACTGCATCCAATTTTAGGAAATTGGAGAAAGTCCAAAGGAGTATAACAAAAATAGTTTAGAAAAAAAGTTGAACAAACAGGATTTTACATCCCTAAGTCTGAGATGTTTTAACTGGAGATATGGGAGGTAATTGTCTTTCTTTCCTTGGCACCGGTGGGACCTCAGTCAGTGTACTGTACTGCATCCAGTTGGGTACTGTACTGCATCCAATTTTAGGAAATTGGAGAAAGTCCAAAGGAGTATAACAAAAATAGTTTAGAAAAAGTAACCTACAAGAAAAGGTTAAAAAAACCTAAGTATGTCTCATCTTCAGAGAAGACTGGGTGGAGAAGGCCCTGAGAAGACTTTCAGATATGTTAAGGGCTATTATTAAAAGAATTAGCCAATTAGCCCGTCATAAGACAGGATTTTCAGGTCTTCTCTCCAGAGCGCTCTTGCTCTGTGTGTCTCTCTCTCTCTCTCTCTCCTCCTACTGCCTACTCCCCTCTCTCATTTCTCCTCCACCTCCTGCCTCTCTCTCCGTCTCTTTCTTTCTCTTGTCCTCCTCCTGCCTCTCTCTCTCCCTGCACCCCTTCCTCTCCCCTTCCCTCCCACCGTGGCGCTTGGTGGGAGGGTGAAGAAGTGCTACAAATTTCACTTATGGATGCAGCTGTAAATGTTAATAATTATAAGGTAGAGCAGAGCCTTCTCAGTTGTCACCCTCTTCTGTGCTGTGCCACTGTGCCTGTTCGTGGGTGTCTGAAAGGGCCTCAGAAAGCTAGGGGCTGCCAAGTCCATCTCTGTTCATATGTTAGAGAATTAGGAGGCATTTTTACCTCGGTTTAATGTTTGGCATTCCCTTTAAAGACCCCACTCCTCACCCCAAAGCACTGGAGGAGAGATATGGAGCTGTCAATTCAATTTCAATCTAACCCATGGCAGCGTTGGTTGAAAATTTAAGGCTATTTGGTAGCCTATAGGGAATGAGCCTTTGGCTCTGTTTCTTTGGTTCCAAGACTCAATAGCTCTCACCTTTGCTAGGATAATCCCTACCTGTCACAGGGCATACTGCCCAAACTGGCCCTGAGAGGCCTGGAGGAGGAACCAGGGAGTAGGGGTTGATAACACAAGAGGTTCAGCTAGATGGGAACAGGACGGGCCTGTACAAAACCAAGGGTCTGGACCAGGGGTGGCAATCAGATGGTGGCGGTTCGCCAGAGTTAGCCCCCTGGGCGCGGGAGGGAAGCCTGGTGGGGGCGGGGGAGTGACTGGGAGGTGGAGCATGATTGGCTTTGGGAGCCCTGTGGTCACGTGCAAAAGTCGGGTGGGGTGGGGGTGGGTGGGGGCCGGGACTCCCAGCGACACCCCACCCCCCGCCCCGCTTTTGCACAGGACCAGAGGCTCCCCCGTGCAATTCTGGAACCATTTTCACAAGCAAATGCTGCCTTTGGGCTCTGCTCCCAGGGAGCTGGCTGCTGCCTCATGCTGTAGACTCTGCAGTACAGCTGGTTCCCCAGGAGTGGGGCTGGCAGCTAGTGTGCATAAGACAGCTCCTGGTGCACACTGGGTCCCGCTGTGGGCCCTTTTCCCAGGGAGCTAGCTGTCATCCTGTGTTTTGGGCTTTTAAATATAAAACTTATATCCAGAGCTTGCAGTGTGTGAAACTACTAGGTTTTTAACAGTTACTTGAAATGATTTTTTTTTACGTCCCTTAATAAATGTAGGGCAAATTATTAATTGATTTAATCTGAAGTAAAGAAGATTTAGAATAAAGAGAAATTTTGTCAGGGCAGTTAAACTGTGAAATAGGCTTCCAAGGGAGATCATGGAATCCATACTACTGGAGACTTTTAAGAACAGATTGGACAAACACTTGTCAGGGTTAGTCTAGGTTTACTTGGTCCTGGTGAGATCTGTTTCTTCCTGTCCTACATTTGTGATATAAATTGTCATTTTTTCTTAATTTCTCCTGTAGAGCTTAATTGCAGTAACTTTTACTTATGTTTTTTCTCAAAAATGTGTGTATATGAATATATAATTCTACTTTCCTCCATTTCTTCCACATTCCTTCTACGTGAAGCTTTACAGACTATTCTTGACAATCCATTTGGTAGAACACAAAAACACCAATTTGCCTAACAGTCATGCTATCAATTTATTTCATGATAATCGTTACTCAATGAAGACTTCATCTTTTGCCTTGGTTCTTGTGCTCACAGTGCTGAAACAACATCTTTAGGTCCCTCTAGTTTCTCTTAAACTCGCCACATTAGGGCTGCGTCTAGACTGGCAAGATTTTGCGCAAATACTTTTAATGAAAAAGTTTTTCCGTTAAAAGTATTTGCGCAAGAGAGCAGTTATACTGGCATGTGCCTTTGCGCAAAAGATTTGCTTTTGCGCAAAAGCATCCGTGCCAGTGTATACGCTCTCTTGTGCAAGAAAGCTCCAATGGTCATTTTAGCCATCGGGCTTTCTTGCACAAGAAATTCATGTTGCCTGTCTACACTGGCCCTCTTACACAAGAATACTTGTGCAAGAGGGCTTATCCCTGAACAGGAGCGTCAGAGTATTTGCGCAAGAACCACTGATTTTGTACATTACAAAGTCAGTGTTCTTGTGCAAATTCTCGCGGCCAGTGTAGACAGGCGGCAAGAGACCACTATTGCGCAAAATCATGCCAGTCTATACGCAGCCTAGGTATATTTCCTCCAACATACAGATGAGTGTTTGGTCTTGGTCTTGGATACATTTATCTGAAAGAGCCTTGGCTATGTTTTATACTGTGTTTGCATTTTGATCTTTAATTATATCAGACTGTGAACATGTCTTCATGTAGTAGCATGAAACTTATTAAAACAAATGTTTTTTTCCCTCCTAGAAAGCTATTAAGGAGAAAGACATACCCATCGAAGGGCTGGAATTCATGGGTCCCAATAAAGGAAAACCTGAAAACTCCTCCTGACCTTGTTCAGGCATATTGTGCCACTATTATGACCTTCAGGACTTGGAGAAAGAACCTCACAAAGACTAGAGATTGACTTGAATTAGCTGTTGTTTCTGTCTGACTTTTAAAGGAGTCTTTTCTGCAGTTTCTTTCAGCTAGGTTGTGTGGCAATTACTGTTTCATCTTAAATGAATGTTCTTCATCTGGCATCGTGTAGTGTGTGAAAAGCCTTTTTATCACTCTATGATCATAAGTGAATGTATTCCAAACTAGGAGAGTACTTATTGAAGTGGGTTTAGATATTAGCTGACCTATAATCAATTTCTAGTCCTTTTTTTTTAATTTGTTAGACTTTAATTGCTGAAATTAATGTGAAAGGGGTAAATTAACTTATTGTAGTGTGCTGCTGGATTTTATTGATTTCAGTGTTCCTAAAAACTGATGTACTATATGAAACAAAGCTGTAGCGCAACTAGTGGTGCTATAAAAGTACCACTTCTGGAGTTTAAATGATTTTTGTTTGGGTTCCCAAGATACTATTTTAATATAGAATACATATAAAAGAGACATCTGTCTAGTAAAACCTGTCTACAGACTTTTTGAGATGGGAAGCAGCCAGTCACAGAAGTGAAAAGGGGCAACTGCCTTGGGTAGTTCATGCAGACAGGTGAAAGGCACTGACACACTGTTGAATTTATCTATACTACTGAAATGGCTGTAGCCCCATGAAGTTTCAAGTGTGAAGAGCTACGAAAGGATCTCATAAAACAAGTTGACCAGGCAACAAAATGGCAGATGAATATTAAGGTTAATAATACTAGGGATGTCAAGATGACATTGACTACATGATTAACTGATAAGCCTGGGTTTATCAGTTAATCCTATGGACTACATCTATTCCCCCCCACCCCTTGCTGCCTCTGGATCTCACCTCTAAATAAATAAATATCTTGATACTGGAAAAAGTTCAGAAAAGGGCAACAAAAACAATGTAAGGCATGGAACTGCTGCCATCTGAGAAGAGATTTATAAGACTGCGATTTCTTCAGCTTAAAAAAGAGGAGACTAAGGGGGATATGATAGAGGTCTAAAATCATAACTGGTGTGGAGAAAGTGAAAAAGGAAAAGTTATTTTCTTGTTCCCATAACACCAGAACTAGGGGTCACCCAATGAAATTGATAACTAGCAGATTTAAAACAAACAGAAGGAAGTATTTCTTTACAATACCGAGTCAACCTCTGCAATACCTGGACAGAGGATGTTGTGAAGGCCAGGGCTTTAACAGAATTTAAAAAACAAGATAAATTAATGAAGGTTAGGTCCATCAATAGCTATTAGGCAGGAACGGTGTCCCTAGCCTCGGTTTGTCAGAAGCTGGGAATGGGCAGCAGGGGCTGGATCACTTGATGATTCTTTGTTCTTGTGACCACTGTCAGAAGACAGGACACTGGGCTAGATGGTCTGACCCAGTATGGCCATTCTTATGTCATTCAGTTACACTTCAGTTTTCCTTATCCTACAGGCATATACCCCTCTGTCTCTGCTCTCAAATATATTGTGCAGATTAGCATCAAAATCATGACATTAAATGTCATCTTAAGTTAGATATTTGAATTAGAGAAGGGGTTCCTGCCTTAGGACACCCTAAACCATATTTGAGTGTCAGAAATTTGTCTTTCTGCTTTGTAATAAGAAATCTGAAAGGACAGGGAGAAATACAACTTTACAATATACTCTGGTATGAAAATTAGTGTTCTACACCAAATTTTAGCTGGCTGAAGTCTGATTTTAAGAGTTACTGAAGTTTGATTTAGTAACCTCAGGAAATATTGAGTAGTGATCAATATAGCATGTGAAAGGTTATTAGAGAGCTAAGCTTGTTTTCCAGTGTTCTTTTGAGACTTCTGTTTAGCCCCTCTTCCTTGCAGCAATGCACCTTGCACTCTAGACTTCCTATTGAAAAACATTTTTTCATAGAAGCTTCTGATGAATTAAAAACACCAAGTCAGCCTGAAGATTATAAAGAACAAAGTTTCCCCCAGTCTGTCTTACCCATATCCCTCAAGAATGGAGCTTTTTTTTCTTCAGACTGTAATATAGCTGGAGAAAACAAGAGATGGGGGGTGATTCAGTACAGCAGTCCCACCATCCCCACTTCTGAACCTGAACTTTTCAAAAGAGAATACACTCTTAGCCATATGAAAGTTGACATCATGATGAGCACAGGCAGCAGCTGAAGGAGTCAGGCAAAGTCTCCTCTATTGATGTTGCTTCTGCTCTCCAACAGACTGTTTAAAAACTATTGCTATTCTTTTGGACTATAGGAGGGCTTCAATTCTTTGGAAATTAATTAGTCAATAAGACCAAACATTTGGCTGTTTCGGCTTTAAACAAGGAGAAAAACCTTGATCTTTTTGTAAGAGCAGAGCCTGATTTATTCCAGAGGAGATCTGCAACTACAGGCAGTCCCCGGGTTACGTACAAGATAGGGACTGTAGGTTTGTTCTTAAGTTGAATTTGTATGTAAGTCGGAACTGGTATGTATTGTAGGGGAAACTCTAGCCAAACATTTCTCCAGAGCTCAGTTTTATTCTCCCACACCTCACTTCCCTCAGTCCTTTATTCTCAAGCTGAGGTGTCTGCTGAGAAAAGCAGCTCCGCGTCTCCCTGGTCTGCTGGGGGGGAGCGCTAGCTTCACATCTCCCTGGTCTGCTGGGGGGAAGCAGCTAGTGCGGGATTTCCTCACCCCATTTGTAAGTAGGGATCCGATGTAAGTCGGATCCATGTAACCCGGGGACTGCCTGTACAGAGTTCTGGTGTAGAGGATTGAGAGAGTTTTGGCCAACAAATGAAAGAAAACTATTTTTGTATGAAATAAACTTAAACAACAAATGGTCTGGTAGCACTTTATAGACTAATAAAAATTATGTAGATTGTATCATGAGCTTTTGTGGGCACAGCCCACTTCTTCAGATGACCAGTCTTGTTTTGTTTAAGTTTATTCTGTACAGACTAACTCGGCTATCCACTGAAGCTATCTTTGTATGGGTTGCAGTGGGCCACTATTGTAGGTTACTCTATAGAGTTTGCAGAAACAAAGTTTCTCTATACAAGTATTCATAGCACTTAAAATCATTAAAGAAATGGACATATATAATTTCTGTAAGATTAAACTAATATTTCATCTGTTTAATTGGTGAATGTTGGACCTCCCTGTTCTGGCTCCCTCGGAACCAGACCCAGAAACATAGCTATCCCTTTGAGGCTAGTGAGCTTCTTTAAGGTTATGCATTCAGAAATGTAATCCTCCCTGTGGCCAAAACATAGAATGTCTCAAGGAGATTGTGTGGCTGTAGACCATACATGGCACCCACCCTTCAAAAAAAAAAAAAAAAAAAAAAAATATGAATAGCATATGAAAGCTATTCATTCCCATTGTCTTCAGTATAGGTCTGATCCTGCTATGTGTATTCAAACTTTTCTGCAGTAAAAACTTAAACCAAATCAATTTGATCCTGTAAAATATTAGAACCCTGTTATCTAAAAGTATTAGAAACAGCACTAGCTTATATTTAAGCCTCATACACCCAGATTGAGTGGTAATATGAAAAAATATTGTAAAAGTCACCTATAAATGAGGCATTTATATAGGATACAAGTTATCAAGCAACTTTTCTTTGGAGCGTTTCATGCAGAGAAAGATGGTAGGATGGCCTCTTTTGGGGCAGAATTAATGTCTGTCAGGGATGCTGTTTGTGAAACCACTTTTAACATTCCTAAAAATCATGTTCACTCCATGCTGCAGCTTGCACTTCACCTCAGTGAGGGGTGGGAAGAAAGAAGCATTACTTCTAAAACTTTGAAAAAACAGCTTCATCAGCTAATACATGGAAGCTAGAAAAAAGTGCCTTATTCTGAGCTTTATGCTTGCTTTACCAAACATTCAGCTAAGATGCTCTGTGGACTGTAATAACTGGAATGAAATAAATAACTGAAATAGAGGGATATGGTGTCTTACATTGGCTGGCTGATCATTTGCTATTCTCCCGTCAGCTAGAAAATAGTAGGAATAGAATAGCTAAGCTTTTTAGACAGCTTTTTTTTTAAGCATGATATTGCTTTCCTAACAGTATAAATGATCTTTTCCCCTTATTTTACAATCTATTTCCACTAATGCAATGAGGATGCTTACTCAGTAAGAACAAAGCTTTCAGTTCCAGCAGAATTTAGAGTTTCTGGCTGATTATGTTTTGTATGTTCTCGCAGCTGTCTCACTCTGCAGCTAGAATACTCCTGATCTGTACTGGAGCTTTTAGTGTTCTAAAGGAGCAGTAGTGAAATAAGACTCCACTAAAGTGACTTGTAAGTACATGAACCCAATCAAAAACCAGCTGTTGCAGCATCTGTGTACCACCACCTCTCATTTGTGAACTAAGCATTTTTAAAAAATGTTACCACTGAATGGTTAGGACCTGTTTATGAAAACGAGGGCTAAGGAGGATTCACCTTTGGCTAAACTGAATTGTCATAGCTAAGGAGCTGCTTCCTCTTTAAAAGCAAGTTGTCTTCTCAACAAGACTTTATTCATGGTGAAATGTGAAAATTCTGCTGCTTCAGACTGCCAACAGATTGATTATAATGAAAAGGAAGCTTGCCTGGATCTGGCCCCTGATGCTCAGGGCTTCTCCTGCCCCTATACTGGGGAGTCCATGCTGGTGTTCCAGCCCCCCCATGGGACTGAAACAATCTACTAGCCTGGGCCCTTCTAGCCCAGTGGTCTCCAATCTTTTTAAACATGAGATCACCTTTTTTAATTTAAGTGCAATCCAGGATTTACCTCAAACCCAAATAGTTACCACGCCTCTTCTGCAAGGCCCTGTCTCTGCTAACTCCATCCTCACTCACTTATCAGGCTGGAGACAAAGAGTTGGAGTACAGGGGAGGAGGATGCAGGCTCTGGTCTTGGGCCAAAGGATTTGGAGTGTGGGAGTAGCTCTAAGCTGAGCCTGGGGCAGGAAGTTGAAGTGCAAGAGGGGGTTTGGGTGCAGGGGGACTCGGCTAAGGCAGTGGTTTGGGGGGCAGGAGGGGTTCAGGGCTGCAGTTTGGAATGCAGGCTCTAGCTGGGCACTGCTTACTCCTACCCTGGCCCTGCACCACTTCCAAAAGCAGCCAGCAAGTTCTCTATCCTTGCCCCTGTGTAGATGGGATACAGAGTGGGGGGGAAGGGCACTCGGACAGCTCCCCCTCCTCTTGCTGTGCCCTGCACAGCAAGCTGGAAACTCCAGGGGGGAACAGGAGGCAGCCCCAAGGTAGAGGGCAGGAGCAGCACAGCAGTCCTGAGGAGAGCAGATGAAATGCCAGCACTTGATAGCCTCCTGGCCAAACCAATCAGGATCACCTGTCAAAAGTTCCAAGATCTACCAGTAGATCCCGGTCTACTGGTTGTTGAATGTGGGAAGTGAGAAGCAGAAAGACAATCGGGGGCTCAGTGAATTTGTGGGTTTTTTGGTTTCTCACAATTTTCTGTGGGTTAACCCTTCTCCCTCCAAACCCAAAAAGGTTCCCC